CAGCCTTATTCAACGGTGTGAGTGTGGAGGATATATGCACAGCCCCTTCATAAGGTTTTATCTCTTGGACATGTCGGGCTCTTTCTCCTCGTCTGTGCTTGCGGGGGCAACACAGGACTGGTAGGGGGGAGGGGGGTTGTGGGTCAGTTGGCATCTGACCCCCTCCCCGGACGTAATGCGCCTTCGCTGTTCTCGGGCCTTCTGAGGGTCCCGGGAGGGGCGGGGGGGGGGCGCACTGGGCCCTTACAGGGCTGGAGGACTACTCTCCTCCTGTCGAGAGGCAGGAGGGGGGTAGCCCTCCACACTTTAGTCCACACACTCTGCACGGGGTCAGTGTTTGAGTGTGGGACGTGGGCTCTGACGCTCTCCCTGTTATCCTTAGGGATTCAGGGAGGCAGGCGTGTAGTAAGCCCATTCGGGGCCCAGGGGGCTTTCCCCATCCGTCTATGGGCGGGGGGGGGGGGGTTCCCCCGGCACTGTTTTTTGAGCACACTTCAGGGTGTGCTCTGTCAGCCACAGCCCAGATTTCTCCTCGGTTACAACCGGGTTAAAGGAGAATGTGGGGCAGCAGCTGCTGACCATAAAAGCCGGTCAGGGGCAGTAGGTTGGAATATTGTTGTTGGACGACAGTGCGCGTATACATCGCGGCTCCACCCACTGTACCCATAGAGTCCAGTAGAGGGCGGAGCCTGTGAGAGATATAACGTCGGGTTACGTATGGTAACCCTTGTTATATTAGCACAGGCGGAGCCCTCTACCCAGGGCACTGTCTGTCCTATTCCGCTCGCTGAAGAGAGGTGTAGGATGATAGTCAGGAGGTGAGGCCTCCTTTTATACGGTGTGATGCGCGCACATTCAGGTAGGCCCGCCCAAGGCCGGCTACATCTGTAGAAGTCTCAGTGGGAGAATGCTCGCAGGGTAAGGTAGTACCCATAGAGTCCAGTAGAGGGCTCCGCCTGTGCTAATATAACAAGGGTTACCATACGTAACCCGACGTTTCATCTTCAATGCCCTTGCTGATGGAAGGAGGTTGTCACTCAAAATCTCACGATCGCCCCATTCATTCTTTCCTTTACACCAGGGGTGCCCAACCTTTTTTTAACCGAGAGCTACTTTTAAAGTTGCCAGTCTGCCGAGATCTACCAGTACAAATAGAGAGGCATAGCCATTACTGACAGCCTAGCCTACTATCAGGTAAATACACACTTCTACTTGTATAAAACTGACCTTTGTACAATGAATACTTCATAAAATACTGCAGATCCTTTATCTTACCTCTTTCTAATCTACACACATACAAGTATTTAACTGAAGTTACACAACAGTGTTGTTGATACAGAGTTGGAGTTTATTCACACGTCACTACAGTGGGTAATGTTTTCAAGAAACATTGAACAGTGCTGCCACATATGACACAGGAAAAAAAGAAAAGACTCTGAACCCTTTCTTTGCCATTATATAAAAATAGTGTTGCTACAAAAGTATAAATTAGGCTTACTAATAAGACAACTCAGATCTGAAGCTACACAGGAATCTGCTGCCAAAGTGCAATAAAAAAGACACAATTAATAGAATCAAACCCTTTTTTTGTTGCATTTTAGTAGAGTATAAAAATAAATGCCTTTAAAATAGGATGCAAGCAACACTAGTTTCTTAACCTGAATTGATAAGACTATAATCAATTTAAACAGAACAGATCTGAATGTTTGCATTCTTATACCATTTTGTACAATAATTATAATGAATAAGTTCAAACAAACTAAAACTTACAGCTGATTAATAACGGTATCCAACTTGAGTTTTTATTATATCAAAAACCTGTTGAAATGCTACTGTTATTTTTACTGTTCCCCAAAAGCGCGTCGGCAGCCTCCAGGAAAGCTTCTTTCACAACTTCGCCGTCTTTGAAAGACTTCATGTGTTTGGCAAGAACGTGACTGACACGATAAGATGCTGTGGTAGCAGCCTTGCTCTTGTTGTTGGGCCTGGTGAAAATGGACTGCTGTGCATTTAGCTGTCCTCTCAGGTCCCTCCCCTTTTGGAGCATAGGGCAGAATTAGGAGGGAATTCCGTCTCCTAGCGTTTGTGCACTGTTTTGAAATGCCGCTCCTAAATTACCCTTCTTCGGTAAAGCCACGCTCGCATTGCAGATGAGACAGATGGACTTTGAATTGGAATAGATACAAAAATAATCATCCTCCCACTCGGAGTGAAAATTATATAGGCCAATGTTGGGCTTTTTTGCTTCTACCATAATTGCGGTCTTGTGTGTGTGCGGACTGTCACTCCTGTTGACACGGACAACGTCAGCGAAATACTGCCCAATACCCACCAGCCACGCCCCGACACATGGGGTCACGCCGGCCAATCACAAAGCTTTGATGCGTTCAAGTGCATTATTCTGGACAGGAAGATTATGTTTCAGGACATTAACATACAACAGAATGTTGTTGTTCTATTTTTAGACACATCTCGCGATCGACTGGGAATCTCCCCGCGATCGACCGGTCGATCGACTGGTTGGGCACCCCTGCTTTACACGGATCAGTCGTCCTGGTCCCTTTGCAGAAAAACAGCCCCAAAGCATGATGTTTCCACCCCCATGTTTCACAGTAGGTATGGTGTTCTTTGGATGCAACTCAGCATTCTTTCTCCTCCAAACACGTCTAGTCTATTTTGGTTTCATCTGACCATATGACATTCTCCCAATCCTCTTCTGGATCATCTAAATGCTCTCTAGCAAACTTCAGACGGGCCTGGACATGTACTGGCTTAAGCAGGGGGACACGTCTGGCACTGCAGGATTTGAGTCCCTGGCGGCGTAGTGTGTTACTGATGGTAGCCTTTGTTACTTTGGTCCCAGCTCTCTGCAGGTCATTGACTAGGTCCCCCCGTGTGGTTCTGGGATTTTTGCTCACCGTTCTTGTGATCATTTTGACCCCACGGGGTAAGATCTTGCGTGGAGCCCCAGATCGAGGGAGATTATCAGTGGTCTTGTATGTCTTCCATTTTCTAATAATTGCTCCCACAGTTGATTTCTTCACACCAAGCTGCTTACCTATTGCAGATTCAGTCTTCCCAGCCTGGTGCAGGTCTACAATTTTGTTTCTGGTGTCCTTTGACAGCTCTTTGGTCTTGGCCATAGTGGAGTTTGGAGTGTGACTGTTTGAGGTTGTGGACAGGTGTCTTTTATACTGATAACGAGTTGAAACAGGTGCCATTAATACAGTTAACGAATGGAGGACAGAGGAGGCTCTTAAAGAAGAAGTTACAGGTCTGTGAGAGCCAGAAATCTTGTTTGTTTGTAGGTGACCAAATACTTATTTTACCGAGGAATTTACCAATTAATTCATTAAAAATCCTACAATGTGATTTCCTGGATTCTTTCCCCCCATTCTGTCTCTCATAGTTGAAGTGTACCTAGGATGAAAATTACAGGCCTCTCTCATCTTTTTAAGTGGGAGAACTTGCACAATTGGTGGCTGACTAAATACTTTTTTGCCCCACTGTATGTGTTGCTTCTTTTGGGCTTGTTTTCATAGACCTGGTTGCTTATTTCTCTCAAATCTGGCAATAGAGTGGGCAGGGCACAGTGTCTAATAGTAGCAGTAAGCTAACAAGAGGCTACGTTCAGCTGGTGACTCGGGAGTCGGGACAGAGAACATTTCAGGAGTTTGGAAGTATTATAAAATTGAAAGCGAAGGCAGTGTAACAGCCAGATGCAATGTTTGCAAGGCGGAGGTTCCGCGTGGTGGAAAGAACAGAGCTACGTTCAACATGACCAATCTAATACGCCACCTGAGAAGCAAACACCAACAACAACACGACGAGTACACATCGGCCACTCAGGTAACGGCACTGAAACAACCAACACTTTTAAAAAGGAAAGACAAACTGCCCCAGAACAGTGAAAAGGCCAAAAAATAACAGCCAAGATAGCTGAATTCATCGCGTTGGATGACCAGCCGTTATCTGTTACCTTTTTTTTCTCTTAATGCATTGCATAAAGATCGGATCGGGAAAAATCGGTATCGGCAGATTGTCAAAATCAAATGATCAGAATCGGATCGGGAGCAAAAAAAGGTGATCGGGACATCCCTACTTATGTTTGTCTTATTTGTCAATGTTGATGTTACACATGGAGCTGCTGTGATGCAAGTCACATTTCAGACTTGATCTGACAATTAAAGTATTATCGTATACAACAACGTTCTAACCTATATCTAACCATATTGTGCATTCATATTGTATATTTCAAAACAGGTTGTGATCTTTCATTTGGAGATAGCAGTGTTAGGCATTCGTGAGGTGCGACAACATTAACATGAACCTTTCTGTTGGTCGCTTGTTAGCAGACCCTCCACGCGATAGCAGAGTGAACAGGTACAGCAAGCGAGGGATCATTGTCCACTGGTAAATCGATTGCAGATGGCGTCGTGCTCGTGGACGGATACAAACAAAATAATAATGAATGGGTCGCGAAATATACTTTGGTGGCCCAAGTAAAGTCTATGTGTGGGAAACCCTGGACTTGAATTTTGAATTGAGCCGTCCCTTATAGATGCTATCTCTTTACGCATTAGTGATGGGAATTCCGGCTCTTTTTAGTGAGTCGGATCATTTGGCTCGGCTCACTAAGAAGAGCCGGCTCTTTCGGCTCCCAAACGGCTCTTCATGTTACCAGTTTACCAGAGCCTCAGTTTCGCCAGTTCACGCACGTGCTCCACTAGCACCCCCCGTCAAGGCTCGCCGGCAGTACACTTTCCGTCACAGAAACACGTTTTGCTGGCAGCGAAAATAATCCCACCAGACTCCTTTGCCCTTCCAACAGAGGGATGTCCTTGTCCTTTTCGTCATTTCAAGCGATAAAAACTCTTTTGGGCACCGTCGGCTCGAGTTCAGGGCATTCTGAGCTGAATAAGGGCCTCAAACGACGGCAAGACGCCCGCCTGGCGGAAACGCTGGAATTAGGAATATATTGTGATGAAGTGCACACTGACCTGAGCTCCAGGGGTCTCCTTGTTCTCCTCCATACTGCTGAAAATGATAGAAAGGTCAGATAGTTATTAACGATAAAAAGTTATTATTATTAAATTATTAATATAATACAAATATTTAGATATAATTCTTCATAATCTGTGTAGCAATTTACATTCTAATTTACAGCTCACAGTTTGTTCACTTTTATTTCATTAAAATTACTTTATTCACATAGAAAGTGACATTAATGGTTGTTTGAACCACGGTTATAACGCTATCTGTGTCATTAACTATTACTAAGTTAACACAGAAAGCAAACATTAGCTAGTGAGACTGTTTAATGTACTCCAGTATTCAGTATTTTCTGCATATTGTGTATTCTTTAGATACTCTAATACAGGAGTGACTACAATTCAACGAGGTCCAGTTAGAGAAAATGTCCCTGTGCAAAGGTCCGGAACTTCAAAATGTCTAACTTGCTTTATGAATTAGTGTGATATATATTGAAGTAGCTTTATCAACGTCTGCATGTAATCAGCAACTGACTGCCAATCAAATAAAGAAAGTACAATTCAAAAACAACAATATGTATTGTCCATTAACATTGAACTCTACAGATATACAGTAAATACTGTGGATATGTGTAATGTTCCTCTCGGGCTGCATTTAAAAATAAAATAGAGAAAATAAATAATAGCTTTTGAGAATATGTGCATCTTAAAAGTGCTTAATTTTAGATAAGTAAAATAAAGTGTAACAGCAGCTTGAGTTTCCCTTTTTCTTTGTTAACCGTTTCACATCATGACTTAACAGTTTCAGCCGATTATAGAACAATATCAGTCTTTACACATCATAACAATTGAACAGTTTTAAAGTTTCTCTTTCCCTCTTATATTGCAGTCCCTCACTCGCTTTTTTTATTCAGTGCGAGAATTGAGCTGGAGCTTGTCCTGCCAGGAGTTTGTAAATCTGGGCTGAAATGGTGTCAGGGCCATTCTCATACACACATGCAGGTGCTCATTGGTTAGCCTCGGTTAGCTTGCCCTGTTTTAGTTTTAATTTTCATTCTGGTTGACTGATCATATTGGGCTCTAAGACTGCTTATTTTTTGTGACCTCAGTTCTGACTTGAGAGGGAATGTTTGGTCCCTGTTTCAACCGCAGAGCGAGTCACAATAGTCCGATATATAAGCATGAAGAACAAACAAACACGGCCGGGGTCAAGTTGTGTTCCCTGGATGAACTGAGCAGGCAGAGTGCCTGTAGCTTCACGGAGCAGCTAGCAGAGAGACAAGAAGCTAGCAGCAGCAGTCACTTGACAGAGCTGTCACTCAATGTGACCACGCCCTAATTTATGCAAAAACATTAAGACCTAATATAAATAAAAGGGTCGTGTTAGAAAACAATTCACTCACGGATCCATAATCATGAAGGTGGAATCTAACTATATTCATAATAATATCTAGTGCATCCATGGGTAGAAACATGTTTTTTTATGCTGTAAAGTTGGGCATTTTAACATGGGGGTCTATGGAAATTGCTCCTTTCTGCAGTCAGTCCCTATCAGCCAATATATGAACTGCAGTGTGTGGCACTTCCGTATTGGCGTCCCGGCTCTTCCCCAGAGTTTGCTGCTTGGTGTAAACTTGCTGCTAATGCTTCATTTGTATTATATCTTTTTGCATCTTTTAAATAGGTTTAACTCGTGTAATGCCTGAAAACACTTCTGCTGTGACACAATCATTTCCCAGTTTAAGATAAATCATTATTTAAATAAAGTATATCTATTTATCTAATGAGCTAAACCGTCGCTTAGCTTTAGCTGCTAACTGAAGAACCCCATTCATTTCAATGGGAAAAATGCTACGTCACGGTGAATGGCGATGCTAATAAGCATATATTTAAAACCATATCTATGGTAAAGAGCACCAACACAACAACTCAAACTGTCTTAAAGACAACTGGTGTAATAAATAACTAACATAAAATCAGCTGAGCATTACAAATAAACTGTTACTCACCCAGAGCCGAACTGGAATAATAACTGTAGCCGTTAGCCGATAGCCGTTAGCTGTTAGCCGATAGCTTTTAGACGATAGCTGTTAGACTTTAGCTGTTAGCCGATAGCTTTTAGACTTTATCTGTTAGCCGATGGCTTTTAGCCTTTATTTAAAGACAATTTGAGAAAAATGTTGGCGCACATTTTATGTTTTTTTGTGAGTTTCTTTCTTCCAAGATTACAGCTGTTGTGTTAAATAAGATAACTTCTGATTCGGCTGAGGGAGCTCAAAGGTTTGCCAAACATAGTTGTGTTTCATTAATGTTTACAAGGTGTGACGGCTGGATTTGATGCCCAACTCTGTCAGCTTCCTTTTGTACGGTCGGTCATAGCTGCAGTTTACGGTGAGAAACTCCTAGTCTGAAAATCATGTGAAGGAACATTTAAATATACTTAACATTTCTAGGGACATACTTGAATGGTCTCAAGTCTAAAGTCATTACAGAAAGCTTTGTAATTTATTCAGCAGTGATACCCCTCACATTCCTGTTTTTCTTCTTTTTCTAACGCTGTCCAAGTCATATTGTAGTGCACTGTATATGTATATGGAAACAAAAGGTACCTGAACTAGGACGAAGTGGTCTAAACCAGTTTCATTGTGAGCCCTATTGTATGGAAGCGATACACTCTGTTTCTAATCAGGCTTGGCTTTATCCTTGCCCGCTCCCTGCTGGTGCACTTTGAGAGAAAAATTAAAAGATCTATGGATACATCTCTCAACACCCATATGAAACAGAACTGTAAGCAGATTTTATTTCTCTTATATTTTACAAATCACTCCCCTTTTAAACTATATTGTTGTTTTGTCATATAGTATTTCATAACTGTTTTTAATGTATGCTCTCTGGCTGTCCATCTCATAATGTTCACATAGAAACTAGCTGTCATTAGGAATATCATTCAGAAGAATTATAATTTCATGCATCTGTCTCAAAAAGGGGTTGCACATTTAAATTCAGGTGTTGTTATGGCAACGACAGTGGCCAAACAGCCACATTTACTGCTGCAAATACGTTCAAACATGCTGTCGGGGCACGTAAAGCAGTGGCAACTATGCCACCATTTCAGCTGACTTTTTCTCAGAAATACTGTCACATAACATTCATATATTTCAGTGCTAGGTTGATGCTTAGCTAAGCTAACTATGAAACAATTTAACTGACAGGACTCAGGATCAACTGTATACTGTAAGGCAGCTTCTAGCTTCATGTCGAACACTGACAGTAAGTCAACATTTCCCAGAGAGCTTTCTTTGAAATCACCAGGTAATGCTAAAAAACATTACATTTAGATTGTATGACAAAGTGTTTATTCCATATCTCTGGCTAGCTATAGCTACTTGCTAACGGTTTAGCGTCCCCGCGATTCAAAGTAACGTCAACGTAGCTATTATTTATGCTTTGCTTACATGTTTATATAACTTGGAAGTTTACTGACATTTACATACCTTGTTTACCTGGCGCAACTGGTGGCTCCGGGGTTGTTGTGTGAGCCACCACTTGAGAATTGTCGTATTTTTTAAGATATTTTTTTCCTATGTCCATCTTCAAAAACTCTGAGTCCGACTGACAGTTTAAACATTGTCACAGCTCACAGGTCCATTCAACTCTCTGGTTGGTCTGGTGCAGGGGTCACCAACCTTTTTTAGGATGAGGGCTACTTTTAAAAAATAAAACAAGTCAGGGGCTACTTTTACTTTTTTTTGTTTTTTGCAATGTATATATTTAGCACATTTTAACATTATTATATGCTTACCTTTAACCTTTGTGTGCTGTTTGAGTCTGTGGGACCCGTTTGCAGTGTTTACTAAAAGAAAATGTATGCAATTTAATTATTTTAACCTGTTTTATTTGGGGGTGGGCCTCACATCCTCTAGGGGGGGCTCACATCCTCCAGGGGGGACCTCACATCCTCTAGGGGGGTCCGGGGGCATGCACCCCCGGGAAGATGTTTTTTTAAATGTTGAAGTGAAATGCATCAATCTGGTGCACTTTGTGCACAAAATGAATTTATGGATACAGCTCTCAACACTCATAGGGAGCTGTGATGCCCCTGTGGGTTCATCAGTGGGGAGGGTGTGGCTGTCCTGTCTTGGTTGCATTGATTGCACTGATTGCAGTAACTCAGATAAAAATAAAAATAAAAATAAACATATTTGTAAAGTGGGGGGACACAAACGGGATTTCGAAAATCGCCCCCCCCCCCCCCCCCCCCCCCCCCAGTGGAGATTAAGCCATGCGTGTGTGTGCGTCAAGTGGAATAAATATATATGCAAGTTACAACACACAGAGTAAAACTCTGCCCCTCATGTGCTGTATAGGCTGGCATGATAGGCTGTTCAATGGGGCTGATGTGTTGTGTAGATTCTGCCAGAAGGAAAATCAGCGGGGAGGTGCCACATTGCTTTTCTTCCCGACTGCAACGCTGGTCCCGCAAATCAAGCAAGAACGTGATTGGTCGATATTCATTGTGGGGGTGGGGGAGGAGGGGTGTTAGATAGATATAGAGTTGTAGTAAGTAGATAGAGTTCGCTATGATTTAGGTTTCGTTTATGCATAGGATAGATTCTTTTAAATTACATTTCCTTTTTTGTTTTGTGTATTTTATACATTTTGGATTTGCTTGGCGAGCTATTTTTAGAACATGCCCCGCGGGCGACTCACGTTGCCCCTGCGGGCGACTGAGTGCTCGCGGGCACCGTGTTGGCTACCCCAGGTCTGGTGTCTTGCCTCTGTTGCATTCACTGAACACGGGAAATTACAATTCTGCTGTCCTCTCATGATATTATGAATGTATTATATTATTGAGGGAGAATTGTCCAGGGCTACAGAAAAAACATTCGGGGCTTTGGTCCTGTATAATAACGTCATATTAAATGCAGTCATTTGGTCTTTAGCAACAGCTTTTGAGAGCAGTGCATTAATCGGTGTTCGTTTTAATGCTGCCAGTTTGTTGACGGCCTGTGTGTTGATGGGACTTCTCATGCTCCCTAAATGTTT